GTGAAGCCGCACTGTAACAAAACTTAACAGGTCTAAAACTAAAGTTTTTACTTCATCTCTCATTTCTGCACACGCTTCACCCAACAAAACAAAATAATAGAAAATACTGCCTATTCTTCCGTGTTTACCTGATTAACACCATACAACTGCATGCGGTCGGGTCATAATATTTTAATTTATCCTTGCCTACTCTCTCTAACACACTTCCTACATCAAATCAACCACTTAAATATTCTGTGTCTAAAATATCCTCTATCTATACCCACTGTTACTATCTACTCCAAGCCCTCATTATTTCTCATCCAAATTACTGTAATGGCCCCTTGAAAAGTCATTTCTCACTCTTTAGTATCTCCTCTTAGACACAGGATAAAATCTTAACTGACAGCCTGGTTTACAAAGCCCTCTTTTTTTTAAGTTGACAAATAATAATTATAAATATCTACGGGGTACAATGTGATGTTTTGATATACGTATTCACTGTGGAACTATTTTATCTAATTAATTAATGTATCTATCACCTGACATGCTTATTTTTTGTAGCAAGGACACTGGAAATTCTTTTACCAATTTTGAAATATACATTATTATTAATTATGGTCACCATGCTGTGCAACAGACCTCAAAAACTCATTCCTCCTGTCTAATTGAAATTTCATATCCTTTAGCCAACAAAATAATAAAAAATACTGCCTATTTTCCAGTGTTTACCTGATTAACTCCATCCAGCTCCCCTTTCCCCACCCACCATCCATCTCACAGCCTCTGGTAACCACCATTCTACTCTCTACTTCTCTAAGTTCAACTTTTTTAGATTTCAGATATAAGTGAGACCGTGCCATATTTGTCTTTCTGTGACTGACTTATTTCACTTAGCATAATGTCCTCCAGCTTGACCCATGTTGTTGCATATTACAGAATTACCTTCTTTTTTAAGGCTGAAGTATTCCATGGTGTATATGTACCACATTTTCTTTACCCATTCATCCAATGATGGACACTTAGACTGATTCCATATCTTAGCTATTGTGAATAGGGCTGTAGGTTACAGACCCAGAAGTGGGATTACTGGATCATATGGTAGTTCTACTTTTAGTATTTGAGGAACTTCCATACTGTTCTCCAAAATGGCTGTACTAATTTACATTCCCACCAACAGCATACAAGGATTCCCTTTTCTCCACATCCTCATCAACACTAATCTCATCTTTTTGATAACAGCCATTCTAACAGATGTGAAATGATATCTCATTGTGATTTTAATTGGCATTTCTCTGATGATTAGTGGTGTTGAGCACATTTCTTTTTTTTTTTTTTTTTTTTTTTTTTTGAGACAGAGTCTCGCTCTATCACCCAGGCTGGAGTGCAGTAGCACAATCTCGGCTCACTGCAAGCTCCGCCTCCCGGGTTCACGCCATTCCCCTGCCTCAGCCTCCCGAGTAGCTGGGACTACAGGTGCCTGCCACCACGCCTGGCTAATTTTTTGCATTTTTAGTAGAGACGGAGTTTCACTGTGTTAGCCAGGATGGTCTCGATCTCCTGACCTCGTGATCCGCCCGCCTCAGCCTCCTAAAGTGCTGGGATTACAGGCGTGAGCCACCGTGCCCGGCCGAGCACATTTTCATATACCACTCGTATGTCTTCTTTTGGGAAATGTCTATTCAGGTCCTTTGCCAATTTTTTAAATCAAGTATTATCTTGCTACTGAGTTCCTTATATATTTTGGAGATTAACCCTTTATCAGATTTCTGGTTTGCAAATATTTTCTCCCACTCTGTAGATTATCTCTTCACTCTTTTGTTTCTTTTGCTGTGAGGAAGTATTTTAGTTTGATATAATCCCATTTGTCTATTTTTGCTTTTGTTGTCTATGGTACTAAGGCCTCCTTAATCCAGCCTGTTTTTCAGGCCTCATTTTTAGTCACCCCTCATGTTTTATCTACCTATAACAGACTACTTGCTCATTCTCCAACACGCCCCACATTTTTCTATCTCGGTGCCTTTTTCTTTTGTTACAAATGTTTTCCTAAGCCCTTTCTATCTGGTTAACTCCTCTTCCTCTTTTAAGATCAAACTCATATGTCATCTCTTCTCTTACCTTCACCAAACCATCTCTCTATTTCCCAGTGCTAGGTTAATTGCTTTATCTGTATTCCCACAGCATTTTATAAATGCCTATTTATAAGACTTATCACATTAAATTATAGTTATTAGTTAACATAATTATCTCCCCCTTTAGAGTCTGAGCTTATTGAAGACCAATACCACATATCCCCATCAATAAAGCAGTTTACATAACATAATTTAAAAACTTACTGAATTGAACTGAAGTTCAGAAAATAAACTATAAATCCAAGAGGTTACTTCCCAAAAATCATCAATATCTTTAAATAGAGTAGAACCACTCTTTAATCAACACAATGAGGATTTATAGTTGATTATTTAAATAGGTCTGTTAAAGGAGGGAAACACACACACACACCTGTCTCTCTCTTCAAATACTTTAACTTCAAACATACATAGTAAGTATATAGTCATTCTCTAACTTAATGACATACAGCAAATTCTAGCCTTTAATTAGAGTTTTTCTTCTTCCTTATATAGGCCATAACTGTCATCTATATTGTTCAATTTCCTTTTTTGTTGTCTGTTTTTTTGGTATTTTGAGACACGGTCATGCTCTGTTGCCTAGGTTAGAGTGCAGTGGCGCAACCATGGCTCACTGTAGCCTTGGACTCCTAGACTTAAGCGATCCACCTCAGCCTCCCAAGTAGCTGGGACTATAGGTGTGTGCCACTACACCCAGCTAATTTTCTAAATTTTGGTAGAGATAGGTCTCATTATGTTGTCCAGGCTGATCTCAAACTCCTGGGCTTAAGCAATCCTCTTGCCTTGGCCTCCCAAAGTGCTGTGATTACAGGCGTGAGTCACTGCACCTGGCCAATTTCCACTTTTTAAGAAGTGACTTAAAAACCTGAGAAGCAGAATCCTTTAGAGTTTTACAAGTTTTTCCCCAACTTTACAAATGATTTAACTTTAAATATTTAAATTACATATAATATTTAAATATGTATTTAATTACCTAACTACAATAACAAGTACAACTGGCATAAGAAGGTTGACAGCATTCACAATGCATTCATTATGCTGTGGTTATCAGTGAGTACATTTTATGGAAGAACTGGGGAATGTCAGTTACTTCAACGAGACAATTAAGTGGAAATTGGTTAAGAGAGTTTTCCGATACTGCAACTGAAGACAGTCTTTCATGAATATACGTAATAGCAGAATCACTTTCAAATTAAATGGTCTGAGCCACAGTTTCTATATTTTGGTAAAGAAATCATTACATGTTGTATCCCTCTAACATCCAGACTTGCTCTTGCCTATCAATTCTAGTACCAATTATGGGCCCCATATTGTCCATACCTTCAAATTAATTTATCTTGGAGCAAGATATATTTATATATATTTTTTTTTAATCACAGCTCAGTCAGAACCTTAATCCCAGAATCAAGATCTCCTTGTAGTTCATCCCCTAAACCTATTCCTCACCTTCTCTGTACATCAGTTTCTTTTAGTTATCCTGACTGCCTGTTTAGAATTGTGAACATGTATTCAACTTGTACTGCAACACCTATAATCTCCTTTCCTTTTATTGCTTGACCAGACTTTTGACTAATCACATTACCTTTAAAATACACGTAAGCTACTATTCTTCCCAATTGCTATCCAACAGCTTGTCCTATACTTAACATCTATGTAGAGCCAGATTTCTACATACCTTCATACTTGCCCAGTTCTTGTAGATTTCTTTCTGGTTTTTCTTCTCAGTCTACATTCTAACTTTTCCACTTTGCCTTGTCACTCCCAATTCTACCATCTTTTCAGCTAAAATCCATAGTCACTCATGATGCTAAGATAACATACAAAGTGCAATGAGTACACGCAGAATGGAAAAGCAGTGACTCTTATGGCACTGAAAGATCCCTGAGAAACCCTAAATTATGTTTTCCATATGTTTTTGCTATGGCATAACAAATGAACTTAGACATATGAGAAAAGTTTCAGGTAACAGTTGAAACAAAAAGATTTTCTGGATTTTCTAGTAAAGAAATTAAAGGAATTAGAATATTTATTATTCCTCAGGAATGTGAATTTTTTAAGTTTGCCATGTATTAATCTTCTAAAGAATGATTCATTTATTATAATCTTATTTTTAATAGTAAATATTGAGTACAGTTACCTATCAAGTTTGAAAGAATAAAAATGATTCTTGTTTGATCTTCATAGTCTCATTCTAATGTTCACAGTATATAACCTTTGTGCCATTTCCAAACCTGCACTTAGTAATAATTATTGCAACTTTAAAAAGCAGCATTTTTTTTAAATCAATATATAACAACTTCCAAAGTTTTTAACATCTCTGAAATTTTAAGAAAACTGAAACATTAGACAAAATCTTCCTTTTGACTAAACACATCAGAAAGAAAAGACACAAAGATTACTCCAACCTCTGATTGAAGAATAACACTGATTAATAGAATGCCACTTCAACAGTCAACTGCTTCAAAGTACTTTAAGACTACTATATCCACAGAAGCACAAATAATGATAAACATATGGCTTTAGTCACTATAAATATGGTTAATAGGAACCCCATTTTTGAAAAATCAGAATATGCTTTCTTTCATTTAAACTACTCTAACATGTTATCAACATACAGACGTATGTACCCATATAGTCTTCCTCCCCAGCTACAAAGTGTCACTACCTCTATTAAACGTATTTTTCCAGAGACAAAATATTAAATAGGTTCTTTACCTAAGTATGCCTTCAATTTGACAAACACAACTCAAGTGCAAAAGAAAGTAATTAGGTAAATGTTAGCTATCACAACTAAACCTATTAATAGGTTTTTATGTGAGATGTTCTCCTAAGCATTTAAAAGATAAAAGCACATGGTCTTATAGGCTAGCATACATCAAATTAAAAACATACCAATTTCTTCCACTTCTTCCAGGAAGTCATTGTATTCTCTTAGACTAGGAAAATCTTCTTCCCTTTTATTGTATCTTTAAGAAAACAAAAAAGAAATCTACATATTACATATCATTGCTTTTAATATTATCTAACTGGTTTACTTGTTCTTACCTAATTCATATATGATACAAGGAAAAGAGTTGCTTACTGTGTAAAACATCATTCTCTATTTTTTTTTTTTTTTGAGATGGAGTCTTGCTCTGTCGTCCAGGCTGGAATGCAGTGGCACAATCTTGGCTCACTGCTACCTCCACTTCCCTGGTTCAAGCAATTCTCCTGCCTCAGCCTCCCGAGTAGCTGGGATTATTACAGGCACACACCACCACATCCAGTTAATACTTTTTGTATTTTGTAAAGATGGGACTTCACCATGTTGGCCAGGCTGGTCTCAAACTCTGACCTCAAGCGATCCACCCACCTCAGCCTCCCAAAGTGCTGGGATTACAGGCATGAGCCACTGCGCCCAGCCTAAAATACTGTTTTCTTGACACCGGGTTTGTAACCAAACCAAAAATGCAATTCTTAAATTCTTATGACTACAGAGAAGTAGGATCAGGAGAAAATGGTACAATATGCAAAATCCTTGTTAAGACTTCAGGGAAAGATAAATTGGGAGCTTGAAAGATTGGGAAATGAGCTTAAGCAAGGCATATCAGCGGAAATTATGGTATTATTTACTTATAAGGGATTCACTAATCTCCAAAACACAAAAAAAAATTGAAGCGACTCCTCCATTTTTATGACATAGTCTAAAAAATGCTAGATCAAGAAAATCTTTAAATATTGTAATGTACCTGTGAAGAATCAGTAAATTGCAAGGAATTAACAATGAAAGATCAAAATCTAAGAGACTACCTTGCAGAAGTTATACAAACAATAAAAGAGCCGCTAGGGGCACTGATAAAGTACCATTGGTTATGTACCTAGAAAGATGCTGCTAAAACACTGATTACCTGGGTTGAAATGTATACTACCAAAAAGGAAAATAAATATATCAATTATTTCTTATAATAAAAGAAAGGATAAAAAGAAACCCAAAACTATTAACAAAGAGTAAAAAGTAAAGCCTAAATTGTAAATGAAAAAGACAGATTAATAATATATAGGTATATATACACATATATACACACATATATATACTATGCCCATGTGTGTATGTATATATACATAAAAATATACATACCAAAATAAACTACAGCTAACACATGATTTTCTCTAATAGCCTTCAAACCTCAACTTAATGTTACCTCCTCAGCCCACATCTGACATCACTGACCACAGCAACACTGACCACTAACTATATAACACTATTCTCAATCTATAATAAATAACATTTGTTTTGGTTTACCTGTTTTTTGTCTTTTTGCTATCCTGTGCTACTGTACGGTAAGTCTCATGAGGACAGAGTTCATAGCTGTTTTACTCATCACTTTGTAACTACTGCCTAACATGCATAACACAGTGTTTACACATAGTAGGTACTCAATACATGTTTATTAATCAAAAAACAAATACAAATGAATAATGAAGCCATCAATCAAGAGGCTCTTCTTTAACAAAGATAAATAATATTACTCAGTTCTCTAAGAACTTAAATGAATTTATACTTATATACCTGCTACTTGTCCATATTTATGAGGAAAAAATAATCAATTACTGACATAATTGTTAAAGTCCTCTTTGTTGACTGAATCATTCGAGCAGGAATACTTACATCTTTAGCACTTTTTTCCTGATCTCAACCTCCTTATCAACAGTGGGATCTTCAAAGAGTTGTACCCTGAAGTTGCTCTTTCTAAGTGGAGTACCACACTCAGGACAGTTTCCAGCTCCTCTCACAAACAGTAAATCTACACAACTTTCACAGCTGTAAGGAGAGAAATAAAACATAACATTTAAGCCAATGTTCAAATCTACAACACATCTGAACAGTTTGCCCCTATGGGGTAAGGAGAGTGAGACTTGAAAACTAGTCATTGCTATTTAAAATCTTACCAAAAAACTTTCTGGAAAATGTTCATTTTCATTTGGAGCTTACTTTTCAGATATAGGTATCCCAAGTGATACCAGTTTAGTTTTACAGATCAAACAAATTTATAAATTAAAATAAATTGAGTGAGAAACTAGGAAGAAGAGCAGGATAGGGAGAAGTAGAAGAGCATGTAAAAGGCTAGTGTATGGTCACCTCCATCCCCAGTCCCAATATCATCCTTAGACCTGGGCAAGAACAGCCTCTTCCAGGGGCCTGCACTTTAGAGAGTCCTGTATACCCCAAGCACTAAAACAGATGTTTTTTCTTCCTTTCCTTGTACGAACATTTTTTGAAAGTTCTGTAATCAACTGAGCAAATGACAATTACAAGAAAGAGGTGCTAGCTGAATGAGGCCCCGCTGGCCAGAGGATAAAGAACTTTGAGTGCTCTAGTATGTATGACAGAGAAAATGAACACAACTTCTGCAATAAGAAATCCTAGAAAGAGTGGCTGCTTATAAAAGCTTTATTCCGTTAAAGTTCGTTGCCCCAAATAAAGCAAACTGAACACCCAGGCAAGCCAGGTTTCCCAGATACCTGCATCCCCTTTTCTGGCAGTGCAACATTAAGAAGGGCTTACAACTTCCTAGAAGACTTGAGTTGAAAAAACAATGAACTGGAGAGGCAAACTTCCCTGTAACCAGATTCCTGGAGACTTGGCGGGATCTGCTAATATACTGTTTTAGATGGGTCTAGGTACCACCACAATCATCCCAGCCCTGCCCCAACAGATCCATACTACCACTCAGTCAGGCAGGTTACAAGGATGGATGGGAGGAGAGAGCAGTTCCTTTAGCCTCTGGGTCTTGAGGGTATAGGCTGCTGGCAACCCAAGATGCTGTGTAGGAAATCAGGCTGGGCCAAGGATGTGGCTTGATTTACAACTTTTAAATATTCAAATGTTTTGATAAATATTTAAACATTTGTAGTCCTCCAGGCATAATGTTGCTCAATTCCATATGTGTTAGGGCCACACAGTCCTAATTACTCCTTTTGTTAGCAATATCTGACATCATCTTATTTATTTCTGTGTTCTGTCTCTCAGACAAGGAAGTACAGTATATTTCTTAAGGACAGAATGTTGCCTATCTTGTTCTCTATCCCCAATGCCTAACACTAATTACTCAATAAATAAACTTCACATAACAAAAAAAATGAATACAAGACAAAGGGAAAAAGAGAAATTCTAATGAATAGGGAAGAGTTGATTTCTTCTGAGTATGTATTTAACTTACAGAATAAGCTAAATAAGAAGAGTAATAAGAAAAATAAGAATTTTTAAGATTATTAGTAAAATACTAACATTGATCTTTATATGTATACATACACACACACACACACACACACACACACACACATATATATTTCTTTTTTGAGAATGCAGTGATGTTATCACAGCTCTCTGTAGCCTTGCCTTCCCAGATTCAGGCAGTCTTCCCACATCAGCCTCCTCAGTAGCTGGGATCACAAGCACACGCCATCATGCTCTGCTAACTTTTTAATTTTTTTTGTAGACACTGGGACTCCCTATGTTGCTCAGGCTTGTCTCTTTTTTTTTTTTTTTTTTGAGACGGAGTCTTGCTTTGTCACCCAGGCTGGAGTGCAGTGGCCGGATCTCAGCTCACTGCAAGCTCCGCCTCCCGGGTTCACGCCATTCTCCTGCCTCAGCCTCCCGAGTAGCTGGGACTACAGGCGCCCGCCACCTCGCCCGGCTAGTTTTTTGTATTTTTTGGTAGAGACGGGGTTTCACCGAGTTAGCCAGGATGGTCTCGATCTCCTGACCTCGTGATCCGCCCGTCTCGGCCTCCCAAAGTGCTGGGATTACAGGCTTGAGCCACCGCGCCCGGCCCAGGCTTGTCTCTTAACTCCTGGGCTCAAGTGATTCTCCTGCTTTGACCTCCCAAGTTTCTGGGATTATAGGCATGAGCCACCACCCCTGGCCTATATTTCTATCTTAACAGTGTCACTAAAAAATAACAGGGAAAAATTCCAAAGATCATAGTGCCATTAGCAAGATCAACTAAACCCCAGATAAACCACTTTGGACTTAGGAAGTTTCAGAGTGGTGCATTTCCACTACTCTTTGTGGTTACAGGAAATTAAACCCATGCACGGAAGGTGAAAACAGGCACACTTTATAACTATACTAACTAAAGATATTTATAAGGAAGCAGCTATCCAAAATATTCAAAATTATAGAGTCATAAATAACATTATATATCTCAAGGTCTTGGAGATTAGACTCAATCATTTAGTCAGCAAGGTAATATAGAACATTAATATATCTAAAAGTCATATTGTATATTAGACATAATATATTATTTGTTTCCAAAATCAGTTGTACATCTCCACTTTTTATAATCTGCCTTAAGCCATAATAATTTAAACAGTATTAAAATTTTTTATTAAAATAAAAGCCATAATAATTTAAACAGTATTAAAATTTAATATTTTCCTATGTAACATTTTCCATTTCTAATTTTAACTGTGAAAAGAATATTTTTTCTTTAAAGCTCATAAAATACAGAATTATATAGAAAAATAATTCAAAGTTCTACTTCATTGTGTTCTATATCTCACTTTCCACGGGTAATATGCTACTGTTGAGTTTAGTGTTTGTGTGGCCACATCTTTTTCTACATATTTACAAAATATATATATGAAAACTGATCATTAAAAAAAGAACAGGCCAGGTATGGTTGCTCATGCCTATAATCCCAGTGCTTTGAGAGGACAAAGCAGGAAGATAGCTTGAGCCCAAGAATATAAGACTAGCCTAGACAAAATGGCTAGATCCCTCTCTCTACAAAAAATAAAAATTAAAAAAAAATCAGCCAGATGTGGTGGTGCATGCCTATAGTCCTAGCTACTCAGGAGGCTGAGGCAGGAAAATCACTTGAGCCCAGGAGTTCAAGGTTACTGTCAGCTGTGATCGGCCACTGCACTCTAGCCTGCGTGACAAAGCAAGACCTATGTCCAAAAATAAATAAATACATACATAAAATAAAGAACAGGAGAGGTAGGCTGTGTGCAGTGGCTCACACATATAATCCCATCACTTTGGGAGGCCAAGGCAGGCAGATCACTTGAGCCCAGGAGTTTGAGACTGGCCTGGGCAACATGGCAAAACCTCGTTCCTACAAAAAAAAAAAAAAAAAAAAAAAAATTAGCCAGGCATGGTGGTACACACTTGTAGTCCCAGCTACTCAGGAGGCTGAGATGGGAGGATCACCCAAGCCCAGGAGGTAGAGGCTGCAGTGTGCTGTGGTCATGCCAGTGAACTCCAGTCTGGGCAACAGAGCAAGATTCTGTTTCAAAAAAAAAAAAAAGAAGAAGTAGTAGTAGTAGTTGATAATTGCTAGTTCATTTTATCTGGCAACAAAGCAACCAAAACAGCAGTATATGGGCAATCTTTTGCCTCTAAGAGTGCGAGGAATTTTTTCAAATAAAATTTTATATTCTGCAGAAAACAGAAAAATCTGGTGAAGAAGCCCAAATTTTCAGTCATTATCCATTTCCAAAAACATCTTTATGGTTTTTGTTTTTAAAAGTCAGAATGGTACTCATCCTTTTTCTCTCTGAATGACTTATTTTTAGCAGATTTTATTTTATCAAGAATATTCTCGTCAAAATTTTAGTCAATTGATTGCTTTATTTTTAAAGAGCAACTATATTCCATGTAGAATTTCAAATATTATTAAAACATACTGACTTAAAAAAGTATTCATAGTTTGTCAAAAACTCTATACTTAAGACTTTCTGTGAAGTAACCTAGTTTTATCAGCACTTTCCATTCTTCGTTAGCTCCTTGGCTTTTAAAAACGAAACAGAAACCTACGGTCTTGAAAGATGAAAAACAAGTAATAACATTGTTAAAGAAAAATTTTATTTTTACAACAAATTCTTCCTTAAGCCCATTTGTATTAAATTCTATAAGAAAGAAGCAGGATATTATTTTTAGAAAATTTTCCTCCCAAAATATGTTGCCTAACTTGTCTATACAATAATATATTGATTGAAGTGCCATATCTTTGAACATTAAAACATTAGAAACCTAAATTCAACTAAATTTGACAAAAATCTCTGCTCTAACTGAATTGTAGAAATTTGAGGTAGAAATGACCTAAATGATCACCAGTTAATTAAAATATTATCAACAATATTATACAATAATGAAATGCGCTTAAGGATTCATGGAAAACACATGAAAAAAATAACACCTGGTGCATTTTAGAAAAGGCAGTCAATTTACAAATAGACTTTGTTCCAATAGTTTGCTTATAAATAAGCTGCTTGGAACTCAAAATACACTTTTCCCAAATAAACTATTTATATGTGTTGGTTAGGGTTTTCAACTAAACCGGCCCAAAGAAGATGAACAAAATATTAGACATTTTCTTTTCTTATTTTTCTCTCCTTCCCAACCCCCACCATGAGTTGATGATATCAGCTTTCAAGTGGGAAATAAACTGGAATTTAAAAAGAATATTCTACAAGTTTTGGTCCCCAGAAAGTAACCAATTGAAATCTTTACCTTAAAAAGGTTTGAGATTTTCTTAAAGCTCAGATATTTGTAATTTTAAAAAACTTATGATCTCAAAATGAATAACTTTTGATAGAAGGGGTATACAATCTTAACAAAAGTAGAGACTTACTTACTGGCATACATGAATTTCAAGCCAATTAGACATGGGATCCAGTTAACTTTGTCTACGATAATAATTTCTCATTTATGTCAGCAACTAAAATAGGAGTGTGTTACATTTACTTATGTGGTATACCCAATTTAAACTTTGAAATATTTGCTGTTAAATTTCCTCATCAGTCCTTTCATAC